GAATGTGTCTTTATTTGTTTATAAGGGTATGTGCTTATTATTCTGAGTTCGCTAGAGAAGATTAAAGAAAAAAGACAAAATCCATTTGTATCCCCAACACGTGATATTGCACAACAGACACCAATACCAACAGACTGTCTCCATTCCTGTGTAACTCTTTATCTGTAACAATGACTTTGTAGAATTGTTATTTCTGTAGATCTTGTTACTATGTACCAAACTTTGTAGATTCTGTGAGATGTTATTTTAACAAAAATCACCAGAGTCTTTAATAGCAGAATCATTGATATTCACTTAAAAAAAAAAAACCAATATCTTTAGGAGTTTCTCAAACCTGGATAGAAGATTTCAACACTAAGGAGTAGTGTTAAGTTTCCCTGGGGGTGATCCATGGGGATTATTACTGTATTATGACTTGATGTTGCTGCATAGATTTTGAGACATAACAACATTTTGGAGGTTTTTCGTTGTTTAGCCTATGTTCTCTTGCATAGTGTGGACATCTATAAAGCTTGGTTAACTTGTACATAGATAGTTCATTGTTTACTAGTCAAAGTGTATCTAGAATTGCCTGTAATATTTTAGCTTCTTACTGAATGTGAGTGTGGTAGGAACATATAATTTTTGTACATTATATTTACTGAGATGTTGCCTTTTTTATTTTACAAATACTTTGGAATTCAGATGTGTGTTTGCTTCCGTGAACATTAATTTGGAAAGGTTTTTAAAATGACATTCCACTGATTAACTCTTTGCTTGAGGTTGACTTCAATAAATTGTTCTGAATGTTCCAATTAAAAAGGTGGTCACATTTTATTTTTCTTCACAATCACCTTGGACATGAAGGAAATTCTGAAAATAACTTTAGAAAACTTGCTCGAACTAAGTATATTCCTGCTTTTGTTGAGCACATTGTGAGCTACGAATGGGGATCAATTCTTGAGAATAAAATGCCATAATTTCCTCCATTGCATCAGGATATTGTATGTAGAATAGGTAATCCTCAACTTACAACACTGAAAAAAGTGACTTCTAACCATACTCACCCTTATGATTGTTGCAGCATCTTTATGTTCACATTATCAAAATTTGGACACTTGGCAACTCTCATATATTTATGATGGCCGCAACATCCTATTTATGATGTGATCACCATCTGTGGCCTTTCCAACCAGCCTCTGAGAAGCAAAGTTAACAGGAGATGCCAGATTAATTTAACAGCCATACAATTCCCTTAACCATGGCATAAATCATAAACTCTGGTGCGACTCAATTGCCTCACTTAGCAACAGAAATTCTTGCCCCGGTTGTGGTTTTAAGTTGAGGTCTTCCTGTACTGTGTAAAGCCTGGAGAAATCCCACCTGGAAAACTGCTGCAACTGCAGTGTCACAATTTGTGTTGCTGCCTGTGGGGTTTGCAACAGCTTTTGTGCGTGCAGCTGACAAATTGAGTTGTTTTATTTGTGAGTTTGTTTGCACAGGGAGAGACCAGCACTTCAGGGATTTGAAATGAGAGGGCAAGTCTCATCTTGAGGAGATGGAGACGATTTCACTCATCCCTTCCTGATTAGAAGAAATAACTTTCTGGTTGGGTTGTGAACTTAACTCGAGAGAAAATAGAAACGCAGCCGTTTGTGAAACATTCCAAGTAGAATAATGAGGGATGTTTTAGAAGAGAATAGAATCCTATATTGGCCAAGTGTGATTGGACAGACAAGGAATTTGTCTTGGTGCAAATGCTCTGTGTGCATGAAAGAAAAGATGCATTCGTCAAGAGTCAAGAATCATCAGGGACAATACTTAATAATAGTCATAGGGTACAATAGGAATAGAATAGAATAGAATAGAATAGAATAGAATAGAATAGAATAGAATAGAATAGAATCCTATATTGGCCAAGTGTGATTGGACACACAAGGAATTTGTCTTGATGCAAATGCTCTCAGGGTACATAAAAGAAAAGATACATTCATCAAGAATCATCAGGTCCAACACTTAATAATAGGGATAGGGTACAATAGGAATAGAAAAGGGAATAGGATAGGATAGGATAGGATAGGTTAGGATAATAGAATAGAATAGAATAGGAATAGGATAGAATAGAATAGAATAAAAATAGGAATAGAAATAGGATAGAATAGGAATAGAAATAGAAATGGAATAGGAATAGAATAGAATTCTTTATTGGCCAAGTCTGATTGGACACACAAAGGAATTTGTTTTGGTGCAAATGCTCTCAGTGGATATAAGAGAAAAGATACATTCGTCAAGAATCATCAGGTACAACACTTAATGATAGTCATAGGGTACAATAAGCAATCAAATCATATTAGGAAACAGTCAATATAAATCATAAGGATACAAGTGACAAAGTTACAGTCATACAGTCACAAGTGGGAGGAGATGGGTGATAAGGAGTGATGAAAAGATTAATAGTAATAGTAATGCAGACTTAGTAAACAGAATAGAATAGTATTAAGAATGATAGGATAGGATCGGATAGGAATATAGAATAGGAGAATAGAATAGGATATGAATAGGAATATAGAATAGAATAGAATAGAATAGAATAGAATAGAATAGTGCCTTAACCATGTTACCTACTGTCGTTGGGTAACCTAAATTACCAATGCAGAAAAAGAAGAGGTGAGCAAAAAGGAAAGAAGTGGGAAGTCGGCACCAACCCTGATGTCTGGGGAATTCTGGGAGTTGAAGTCCACAAGTATTCAAGTGGTCAAGGATGGACACTCCTGATGTCAACCAGTGGCCCCCAGAAACCTTTGGGGGACCTCTGCTGTGAACCCTAAAATAAAGGGATGCACATTACTCGGCTGGTCTTTTTTTATTTATCTTCCAACATTAGTGGCTCAGAGTCACTCATGCCCTAGTCCAGGAGTCTTCAAACTTGACAGCTTAAGACTTGTGGACTTCAACTCCCAGAATTCCTCTTCCAGTCATGTTAGCTCAGGAATTCTGGGAGTTGAAGTCCGCAAGTCTTAAAATGGCTGACATAGAAGACCCCCATGCTAGTCCAGGGGTCTTCAAACTTGACAGCTTAAGACTTGTGGACTTCAACTCCCAGAATTCCTCTTCCAGTCATCTTAGCTCAGGAATTCTGTGAGTTGAAGTCCACAAGTCTTAAACTTGCCCAGTTTGAAGACCCTTGCCCTAGTCACTTCCTGCCTTGACTATTGCAACGTGCTTTACATCCGGAAGCTCCAATTGGTGCAAAAATGCAGCAGCCCACATGGGTTTGTGCATACTTTGGTGTGCACATGTATCGCCTCTCCTGCCGGAGCTGAATTGGTTGCCAATTTCAAGGTGTCGCCTTTAAAGCCCTTCATGGCTTGGGACCGGGTTATCTGAGGGACCGTCTCTTGCTGGTCACATCTACCCCGACCCATTAGAGCAAGGGGGCAAGGAATGCTGTGGGTCGCATCCCCTAGGGCCATGTTGGAGAACCTCTGGCATGTGTGCCAGAGGTAGCACACAGAGCCCTCTCTGGGGGCATGCCTGCCATCAACAGCTGCTCTTCTGGTTTCTGGCCCACACAGGCATGCTGGCCAGCTGGTCTTTGCAGGCACTGGAGCACCGGAAAACATCCCGGAAAATGGTCAGAAAATCAGGCCGTTTTGGGGGGACGTTTTCCAGGCTGGTTTTGGCCTGAAAAAAAGCCAAAAAAAAAACCGGCCTGAAAACACCTAAAAAACGGTCTGAAAACATCCCAGACATGTTTGGGCACTCCGTGCCGAAAAGGTTTGCCATTACTGCCCTAGGGAAATACACCTGGTAGGACCCAGAAGAAGGGCCTTCTCCGTGGTGGCTCCCTCTCTCTCTGGAACATCACCCCCCCCCCGAGTTTAGAATGGCCCCCACTCTGATTCTCTTCCGGAAGGCGCTGAAGACCTGGTTCTGCCAGCGGGCCTGGGGAACCCAGAGCGGGATGGAGCCCATCAAATGGCTCATTGTGTGATCTGCTGTCCTCGGGGCGGGGCGGGGTAGGGGTGGGGCTATATTATATGATTTTATTGATGTATTATTTTATTATGAGCCATGGTGGCGCAGGGTTTAGAGTGCAATATGGCTACTTCTACTGACGGCCAGCAGTTTGATAGTTTGATTCTCACCAGGCTTAAGGTTGACTCAGCCTTCTGTCCTTCCGAGGTGGGTAAAATGAGGACCCAGATTGTTGGGGGACAAGAGGCTGACTCTGTAAAACAGCTTAGAGAGGGCTGTAAAAGCACTGTGAAGTGGTATGTAAGTAAGTGCTATTGCTATTAGTTTTTGATAGATAGATAGATAGATAGATAGATAGATAGATAGATAGATAGATAGATAGATAGATAGATAGGCAGGCTGGCAGGCAGGCAGGCAGGCAGGCAGGCAGGCAGATACAGGTATGTAGGTAGTTAAGTAGGTAGGTAGACAGATATACAGAGAGAGAGAGAGAGAGAGAGAGAGAGAGATAAACAGATAGATACAGGTATGTAGGTAGACAGATGGACAGACAGAGACAGATAGACAGACAGATACGTAGGTAGGTAAGTAGGTAGGTAGACAGAAATACAGAGAGAGAGAGAGAGAGAGAGATAAACAGACAGACAGATAGATATAGACACAAATATATATGATGTTTTTATAAGCCGCCTTGAGTCACCACTTGGGAATAGGTGGCAAGGTAAATTTTCGAATTAATTAATTCAAAACAATTAGGCCAGGATTCTCTGGCTGGGATTTCAAAAGCAAGCCGGGTGACTCCCAAAACCTCATGAAAGGACCCAACTCTTCCCCCACCCCACCCCCCACTGAAGTCAAGGGCCCACCAGGACCCGCAGGCCAGCAGTTCCCTGCCGCTCGGTCCACGTGGCACCAAGCGGGTTGGGGGGAGGGAGGGGGGCGGGGAAGGCGATGCCCAGGGCCGGAATCCTCCTGAGCCCTGACCTTGGCGGGTGCCTGCAACATTTACCCCTCCAGACGACCGGGGTTTCCTTCCCCACCCCTTTGCCTTGAAGGGAGGGAGGGGTCTTTTCTTCTCCCTCGGGCTCGCCCCCCCCTCCCTCCCCAGGGGAAGAAGCTTCGCCCAAGACCCCGCGAGCCTCCTCCTCCTCGGAAGGAGAGAAAAGCAGGCGGGGTCGGGGTCGGGGGGGCGCTCCCCCCCCCCAAGCCGGCTCTCTCCCAGGGAGACCCGGGCCCATTTGACCCCTTCCCAGGAAGCGCCCGGGCTCCGCTCCGCTCCGGCCCCGCTTTCCGTGGAAACGGCGGGGTTTGCAAAGGAGGGAGGGTGGGGGGATGCTGGGGGGGGGGGGGGGGGGGGAAACGGGGCTTTTCTTTCTCCTTCCAGCCCCCTCCCCATTTCTCCCCACCCACCCACCCACCCTTGGAAAGGTTCCAAGGCTCGGCTCAACTATTCCGCTCTGTCCTAAGATGCCCTTGCTTGCTCTCCCACACACACACACACACACACACACACTACTCCTCGTCCCACTTTCGCGGAGTTTTTGCCAAGGGGTCTCGCCCCCCCCCCCTTCCCTAGGTAAGAAAGGCGGGAGAGGGTGGGAAGGAGGAGGAAGAGGAGGAGGAGGAAGAAGGGGTCCGTCCTGGAGTCCCCAGCTTTGTTTCCACGCCTCGCTTTCCGTCCGGCGATGTGGGGTGCAAAAGAACAACAACAAGAAGAAAAAGTTTGCAAGGGATGCGGCGGGGGGGGCAGGGTGTCCCTTCCACGCCCACCCACCGACCGACCCACGCGCAGCCCTCCTCTCCCTCCGCGGACGAAAGCCGGACCTCGCCGCCGGGCAAAGAGGCTGCGTTGGGGGGTGAGTGAGTAGCAGCATCTCCCTGAAGCTCCAAAGCTTTGCTCTCTCTCTCTCTTTCTCTCTTTCTCTCTCTCTCTCTCTTTCTCCCCCTTTTCTCCTCCATCTCTCCCCCCCCCCCCGGGGCTGGCCCAGTTCCCAGGGTTGTACTGTGATCAAACCCTCCAGCTTGGAGGGGGCTGAGCTCCGGCTCTTGAACCCGCCTCCGCCAGACCTCATTTCCCTAAAAGAAAAAGAAAAGAGAGAGAGAGAGAGAGAGAGAAAGAAAGAGAAAGGAGGAAAAGAAAAGAAAGAAAGAAAAAGAAAGAAAGGAGGGGAAACCTCTCTACCTCTTTCCATTTCTCTCCCCTCCCTCCTCCTCTTCCCCTTTCCCACTCTTGTTTCCTCTCTCTCTCTCTCTCCCCCCACCCCCGACCCCCGACCCCCCGTTTCCAGTTCCGTGGAGCATTTCCCGGGACCTGCCAGCATGTCTGCGTTCAAGGGGGGGCTACTCTTCCTTTCCTGCCTGCTGCTGCTGGTCCTGGGACAAGCCGTGGATTTTACAGATTACAGCGACCTCCTGCAAGAGGAAGAGGAGGAAGAGACAATTGAGTATAAAGACCCCTGCAAAGCTGGTAAGCTTTGGGGAGGAAAGTGGGGTGGAAGGAGGGGGAAATACAGTGTGTGTGTGTGTGTGAGCACACACTGCCGGCACTGCCATTACTTCTCTTGCCACCTCCTTGTGCAAATGTGTGCTGGTTTTTTTTCCCCTTTTTTTATGGCTGGGGGGGAAGGAGTGGGTGGGCAAAAGGGGGAAACCTGGTGCTCTTTTGTGTGTGTGTGTGTGTGTGTGTGTGTGTGTGTGTGTGTGTGTGTGTGTAGCAGCTGGTTGGAGGCTCAGAAAGGGCAGAGGGGTCTGTTTGAACCCAGGTCATGCACACTGCCTGGTTGGCAGGGTAGCCTGCAGACAAAAGAAAAGAGGAGAATCTTTCTCTTCCCCCCCCCTTCAACTCCCTCCACAAACATCTCTGCTCTGGCCTTGTAAAGGAACTCTTTTAAAAGTTGGGATGGAGAAGTTTTGACTGTTTCCTACTATGATTCGATTGCTTATTGTACCCTGTGACTATTAAGTGTTGTACCTGATGATTCTTGACAAATGTATCTTTTCTTTTACGTACCCTGAGAGCATTTGCACCAAGACCAATTCCTTGTGTGTCCAATCACACTTGGCCAATAAAAGAATTCTGTTCTATTCTATTGACTTCACAAAACTCCAGCGCTTTTAAGAAGCATATTGGCTCTTGGGATCCACCTCTGCTGTGCAGTTGTCAAGAAGTTGTGTTTGCAACACTCCCACCTCCCCTTCCCCTCCCCGCAGGATTGTTGTTGTTTCTCTGTTGTTCGTTTCCCGGTCCCTTGCTTTCTTCTTTTCCTACCATCCCGTTTAAAAAATATAAAAATAAAAGGGTGTGTGTGTGTGTGTGTGTGTTTGAGACTCTTTGTGCCTTGGGGCTGTGGAATGAGGCCTCCTCTATTTATGTGTCTCTTCAACAGGGGAATGTTTATAGTGGAAGGGAAGTCCAGGGATGCTACAAGAGGAATGTAAAGGGAAGAAGTTGCCAGGATTTTCTTTCAAATTGTTTGGGCTCAGAAAGTGAAGTTTTGTGGGATAGAATGGCCCTGATTCTGAGTTTATTTTTCTCTTTCCCAGCCAAATTATTTACAGCGGTTGGCAGAGAGGTAGCTGTCAAAGGAAACTGTTTCTTAATTTCAGAAGGATTTATCCAGACCGCCTAATTAACCCTGTAACATTTAAGTATCCAGCCAGCATGTGCGTGCTTGGTAAAATATATATATCTAAAAGGCAATTTTCCTTATTCTTTGTCCCCATAATGTAGCGTGACTCATACTGGCACTCTAAATTTCAAAAGGAGGGCTGTTATATCTGCACTAATCAGATATTTGCACTAAGGTTCATTGGACCTGTGAAACCATGATTGCAGCTTCCCACAGTGTGTGAGGCTGATGCCTAAATTTCTTGGAACGGTATATCCGATTTCATAATTTTGGAGATCCTTCATAGATCTTCTTCTCTGATGTCAAGAGGAGTCATTCTGTTGAAACTGACCTCTGTTGAATGGCATATTTAATCCTGCCAATCAGTGGTAGAGCCTCAATGACTTTTGACAGGACCAACTTGGCAGCCGATGTATTAAGACAGAGGTCTCCAAACTTGGCAACTTTTAAGACTTGTGGACTTCAACTCCCAGAATTCTCCAGGCAGCTATGAATTCTGGGAGTGTCCACAAGTCTCAAAATTGCCAAGTTTGGGGATCCTATACTGAGAAGAAGCTCTTGGGGTTCCCAAAGTTTCAAGACATTTCAAAATTAAAAAGCAATCCAAAAGATTGAAAGGAGTTGGGTGGAATTGAATAACACAGAGTCCTTGTCCTGCGACCATAATTGTAGCCCAAAATTTATGCTGTTAAGTGAGATATTTGTTCAGTGACTTTTACCCTATTTTACGACTTTTCTTGCCATTTTTGTTAAGTGAATCACTGCAGTTGTTAAGTTGATTTAGCACAGTTGTTAAGAGAATCTGGCTTCCCCATTGTCTTTGCTGATCAGAAGTTTAGTTTAGTTTACTTTATTGTCATTGTACCTCGTACAGCGAAATTAAATAGGTCGTGACTGCAGAAAAAAACAATGGCTACCAACCTGCCTTCCATGAAGGATCTGTATACTGCACGAGTCAAAAAGAGGGCTGTGAAAATATCTACAGACCCCTCACATCCCGGACATAAATTGTTTCAACTCCTTCCCTCAAAATGACGCTATAGAGTACTGCACACCAGAACAACTAGACACAAGGACAGTTTTTCCCCCAATGCCATCACTTTGCTAAACAACTAATTCCCTCAACCCTGTCCAACTATTTACAAAGACTGCACTACTATTACTATTAATCTTCTCATCACTCCTTATCATCCATCCCCTCCCACTTGTGACTGTATGACTATAACTTTGTCGCTTGTATCCTTATGATTTATATTGACTGTTTCCTAGTATGATTTGATTACTTATTGTACCCTGTGATTATTATTAAGTGTTGTATCTGATGATTCTTGATTCTTGACAAATGTATCTTTTCTTTTATATATACCAAGAGTATTTGCACCAAGACAAATTCCTTTGGGTCCAATCATACTTGGCCAATAAAGAATTCTATTCTATTCTATTCTATTCTATTCTATTCTATTCTATTCTATTCTATTCTATTCCATTCCATTCCATTCCATATTCCATATTCCATATTCCATATTCCATATTCCATTCCATTCCATATTCTATTCTATTCTATTCCAGGACATTGCAAGTCAAAAATACGAGTCAGTTGCCAACTGTCTGAATTTTTCTTCATGTAACCATGGGGATGCTGCAATCATCATAGGTGTGAAAAATAGTCATAAGTTACTTTTTTCACAGATGTTGTAACTTTGAATGGCCACTAAATGATCTGTTGTAAGTTGAGGATTACTTTACAGGGGAATATGGGAGACAGGAAGTCAGTTTTTAAAAGATGCTTTCGAGTCAAACAGACTAAGCAATGCAGAAAATTACAAGCCCCAATCACCCACTTTGCCGATGATAATGAAGTTCTGCTCCTGATGGAAAAAAAAAATACTAAAATGCAGCAAGTTTATGAATGTGTTCTCAAGTGGGCTTGGAAAGCCTTTTAAAAAAAATGTATCTAAGAAGCATAGAGTGATTCGCTAGCAGCTGGTCCAGACAGCTGAAGTCTCAGAGAGCGAGGACTCAGATGAGGGCCCTGCGTGTGATGCAGGGATGGGGCCAGGACCATCAGGGAGTAGAAGGACGCCTTTGGAGATGGTGGAGGCTGGCAGCAGCGCTGAGGAGGTTCCCGAGGAGCCTGTGCCCAGTGCGTGTGCACGCAGGGCTGCTCGAAGGAAAGAGCAGCTGCAGCAGCATGGGCAACTCGGGAGTAAGGCTGCAAGGTGATGGCCCCTCCCTTAGGAGATAAAAGCCAGCTGAGAACCCAGAGTTCTTTGCAGGAAGCAAAGAAGTTTGATACTCGAGACTGGTGGACATTAGGAATATCTGAGTTGGTAATTGGAGACTCTTTGATTTGTTGTTTAGGAACTTTTATCTGTTGTTCTTGGCAGCCTTGCAAAAACTCTTCCTTATTGGAGCTAATTAGTTGGAAGCAGCCTTTTAACTGTGAAGAAACAGGATTCATAAATGAAACAGTAGAAGGTTGTGCTGTTACCTTTGTCTTTTGTTTACTCTCTTGGAACCAGGTTTGGGTCAGGTGTAGTGGCTAAGGCATGAGATTAGAAACCAGGAGACTGTGAGTTCTAGTCCTGCCTTTGATTGGGCCAGTCACCTTCTCTCAGCCCTAGGAAGGGGGCAATGGCAAACATCTTGTAAACATTGCCCAGAAATTGCAGGGACCCTATCCAGACAGTCTCTGAAAATCGGACATGAAAATAAAGCAATAACGCAGCATAAGAAAGATATAAGTTCTTTTGTACATTTAAGGTGCCGAAAGAAAGCTGTAACTACCTGTCTATATAAGTAATACATAAAGTAACACATTTTGTTCTAATTTTGCTTTATTTCCCTTTCTGTTCTGAGGCCTGTGAGCAATATCTCATCTTACTTGGAGAAGGGCTCCTGGTAGATCCAGATGTTGGGGCAGTGAGAACACCAGTTTCCATGTAGGCTTAGGACACACAGTTATTTTATATTTTTTACTTTCCCATACAAGAATTCAAAGAAACGCACAGAGTGATCAGCATTTACATCGATAGAAGGTGTAGATCAGGGGTCTCCAACCTTGGCAACTTTAAGTCCCATGGACTTCAACTCCCAGAATTCCTCAGTCATGGGAATTGAAGTCTACAAGGACTTATCCTAGGACTTACCTGTGGACTTCAATTCCCAGAATTCCTCAGCCCGCAAAGCTGGTTGAGAAATTCTGGGAATTGAAGTCCACAAGTCTTAAGGTTGCCAAGGTTGGAGACCCCTGGTGTAAATTCTCTTCCTTTTACTAGATTGACACAGTTTATACAGATAAAGATTCTATCCTGTCCTAGGATTCTGGTATAAGCCATAATGATTTCAAAGAAATCAGTACTGTAAGGCTCACTCCTGATTCCAAAACATAAATCATCACATCAAATGCTGTAACCTTGATTTTTCTCTCTCTCTCACACACACACACACACGAAACCGAAGGGCACTGAAATTGCTGTGATTGATTTCCAAATAGGTATATTCAGAAGGGATGTGACTAAGATGCTGAGCTTGTCGATCAGAAAGGTCAGCAGTTTGGCAGTTCAAATCCCTAGCACCACGTAATGGAGTGAGTTCCCGTGACTTGTCCCAGCTTCTGCCAACTTAGCAGTTCAAAAGCATGTAAAAAAATGTGAGTAGAAAAATAGGGACCACCTTGGTGGGAAGGGAACAGCGTTCCGTGCACCTTCGGTGTTTAGTCCTGCTGACCACATGACCATGGAGACGTCTTCGGACAGCGCTGGCTCTTTGGCTTTGTAATGGAGGTGAGCATCGCCCTCTAGAGCTGGAAACGATTAGCACAAATGTGCGAGGTGAA